TCTAAGGGAAGGTAGTGCCTATGGCTGTAGATATTTTTTGGGTTACCGTATGCCACTCTTAATTTAGCTGTAACGTGTCTTTTAAAACATAAATTAGAATCTAAAAACAATCCCAAACTTTTACTGGTATTTGAATAAGAAAGCGGTACACCGTTCAACACAATATTCATGCTGTTTTAAACTTTAGACATTTGAGAATCATTACCAAAAATCAGGACTGACGATTTACCAGGATTCAATTCCAATAAATCATCCGCAGCCTTCTTGAAAAAATTATCTAAGTCAAGATAAATTTTATTTTCGGAATTTTCGACATCCTCATCGGTAAATGAAAAATATATTTCTGTATCATCTGCATAAAAATGATATTTACAATGCCTAAGAGAGGTCAAAAAATCCGAAGTATAAATAGTGTAGAGTAATGGTCCCAAGATGCTACCTTGAGGTACCCCCCTTTTCACGTATAAAATTTCTGAATGAATGTTGTTTATTATTACCCTTTGCGAACGATTCGACATCCGACAGAAATGATTTCAAAAAGTTACAGGAATTTGTGCCGAATCCTGCAAAATGAAGAATTGCTAAAAGTAGCTCATGATTAAAAGCATATCAAACGCTTTACTAAAATCTAAAAGAACCAAAGTACTAATTTTATTCTCATCAAGTGCCCTTAAAATATCATCTGTCAAGTCAGCCAGTGCGCGCTCTCACAATTATGGTTAGGTCTAAAAACCGATTGTTTAGTGGGCAATACATTAAATTTATTCAAAAACTCCCTAATTTGCCTGTTCAAAATTTGTAGTAAAGTAGTAGTTCTAGGTTAGACAATTCTAAAATTTCTTCCAAATCATAATGAACCAGGTCTTTATAAGTTTAATTAGAAGTTGCGGGACTTTATGTTTCAGCTCATTCTTTCATCGGTTGTGTAAGCGGTATAAAGTCGGCTCGAAGCGATATTCATAGGAGAGGTTAACTACAAATCGCAAATTGGAAGATCAAAACTGAATAGTTTTATTTATTAGGTTTGGAATTTGGTAGATTATAAATGATAATTGCGGGTCATACGAATACATCCTAGTAAATAATCTAGAAGCATTAGGATTATTCTAGACATTGTGAAATGGTTCCGGGATAGATCTAGCGGATTCTTGGCAGCACATTAATAAGTACCTAGTTAGTGAGTTGGAGGTTTGGTAGGTTTAGAATTTGCTAGATTAGAAATGTAGGAGATAATACATAATTGTATTCGCCTCTTATTGCTGGTTTTTGCTATCACATACTTCGATAACTATACTAAGTCGTCTTGAAAATTTCTTTCATTAGTACTAACTTTTTATTTTCTCTAATGTTTTGTGGCAGTTTGTGATATTTTGTACGCCGGCTCTAAAAGTGGACTTTATTTTTAGGATGACGATCACGGAAAATAAAGTTCCAAATTCAGTACCTACAAGTGCAGGACGTGTACGAGATGCGGACGGGAAATTTGTTACCATCGGTAACCATAAATTGCGCACAATACCAATAAGTTTGCCTGCTGGCACTCTCATGCAGTTGTCTGAGCCCAACAATGCTGCGAAGGTGATGGAGAACTATGGAACAACTCATCGTCAGCAGCAGCCCCAACCCGGTAAGAATCATTAAAATATATTTATTTTATGTGAAACGTAAACCTTACTCATGGATGTTTGTTGATTTGCAATAACTATCTAATAACTTTCGGAAAGAATTTTTTAAATATTGAAGCGGAAAAACTGACTGTCAAACTGACATGATATTTATTGTTTTCCTAATTTTTCAGTAAGATTTGAAACATAACATATCTTGAAAATTTCATCATGAACATGACGGAAATACTAGGTACCTACTGCAGTAATCAATTTCGTGAAAGTTACTAAAATGTACCTCCGCTTCCTAGCAATCGCAATAAATATGGTATTTACTGCAAATTAAATTAGAGTTTTTTTGTATTATTAGTATAGGTATATTCTGGTTGAACGGATACTCATGAACAATTTTACGTGCTGTTGACAGGAGATATGGCATAATTTCAAATTGATATTTTCCGACTAGATAGGTACGTTTTGTTTTGAGTACTATTGCGATGATCGCAGAGCGATAACCGCGGGACGATAATTGCTTGCGTTGATCGCTAGCTGGAGCGTTTTGCTTGACAGCGACTATTCACTATTCTGTCAGTATTCTCCTAGAAAATATTCCTTTTCTAAATTTGCTATCAGTAGGCTGTCAACTTTTCTTGTAGATACAGTGAGCGTCGCGATAAGTGTAACAAAAACGATTAGTAAGAGCAGTAGAGCACTGTTATCAAATTATCTTTTTCTGGAAGGAATTGACGATAAAGACATGCTAAAAATGTTGAGTTTGCCAAGACTTCCTAAACATCCTATCTTCAAAAGGAGGATGGATGAATGATACTTTAAAGTTTTGTTTAAAAATCACTTGTGTGGTGACGACAAAAAACACGAAAACACATGTACACCTACTGTCAATAATCGTTCGCGACTGGCGATTATATCTGGTCTAGGACCAGACGCGCCCGATTGACGTTAGCGACTCTAGCGATTATCACTCTGCGATCATCGCAATAGTTGCTCCATAAGCAAAACCAAACGCACCTTTAGGTATTTATGATTTTTGGTCTATCTACGGAATTCGTTCGTATCACTTTATAAATCGGATTCTTTCGGCTAATTACTTAAAATATTCAATAATTCCATATTATTAGGTAAGACACGAAATAAGCTCAGGTCCATGCCAAAAAAGTAACTGCTTACTGTCTGCAGCCGACTTGTATTAGCTTAATTTTTAGTCTAGGATGTTACGAAAAAAAAATATAACAAAATTTGGAAAAATATCATATGAATATGAATCGAGACGGACTGTATCTCATTCTCACATTACCTATACACCGCTATTTTTGATAATCCTCTGAATTCATGCTGTTCTGAGAAGGAAAGACAGACAGGGTAAGCGCGGCAATGGAATTTTTAATTTTTGAACAAATTTTCATACTCAACGAACTTGACTGTAGTTTTTTTCCTATCGATATTTCAGCTCGTTTACTATTTTCAACTAGGAAAACACCTTCCGGCGATTTCACCATTAATCTTTGAGCGTTGGACTATTCGGCTTTTAATATTTTTGAATGGATAATAACTTACCAACATTATTGTTGCTATATTTTGTTGATCTGAATACATCTCTATTTTCAGGCTGATGCTGATTAACAAGTTGTACCTAATGGAAATACCTGTTATAAATCCGTTTTAAAATTCTCTGAAGATGGTAGTTCAAGATGTGGAATTCGCTGAATCCGCCGGAAGACCGTTTGAAATGGATCAATGAAGAGAACAGATCACCGAAGAACCCAGGATGGCCATTAAGACACTGAATTTCAGGCAGGCGAAACCATGTAAATCAACTTGGAAATCAAGGTCAGTAAAAATCTTTCTTGAGTGAAAAATTTATTGCTGACTTAGAGCTATTGTACCACATATCGCCAAAATTAAAAGTTGGTGCTAATACATATTTCATGACCAGGCTAGAGTCAAAATCTCTGGCAAAAAAAATTGATATTTTCAAATCCAATTAAATAACCAAATTTTGGAAATAATTCGTCGTATTTATTGGTTCGAAATGATAATGAAATCGATATTTCATAAATAACTGTCAGATTTTTATTTTCAAATGTTAAACTCTTTGGAAGTGGTTTTAATTCATCTACAGGCATAAGCAATTCTGTATAATAAATTGCTGGAATATTTGTTGATAAATTAACAATGTCATTTCTAGGCTGCCCTGCCAGGTTTTTCCTAAACCTATTGTGGAAGCCATAAGGTAGTTTCCTAATATTCCAACTAATTCTCTATATTGAGCCTCTCTTCTTTCTCCAAGAGAACTGATTACAGTAATGTTGAATAACGCTTTAAGGGTTTCAGAAGCATTGTCGGCTTTTTGTTCATGTAGCTTAGCAGGAGTTTCGTCAGTCTCTTTCAGAATAATTTTTAATGCATTAATAAATAATTATAGACCATCTCCGCTACAATTATATTTCTTACATTTTTCGAAAGCGCTGGAAGATAAAACACAAATTTAGTGTCGTAAAATTTGATAGAGTCTGGAACATGGACTATGTCATATAAGCTTACTCTGCCAATAAGCTTATCCAATAAACCATTTTTGTTGGATGCTTCTACCAATTCCTTGCTATTAAATGAAGTATTCCACAGCACTTTCTGACCTATTTCAATCTTGCATAAGGTATCATCAGGGTAGTCAAATTTTGTATCGTTTAGACCTAATGATATATATTTTGTGGATTTTTGCTTGGAAAATGTTGAAGAATTATTTTACCAATGTGTCGTATAAATAAATTCATCCATTCTTTGGTTACAAGTTTATTCACAGACGCTTCATTGCTTCATTGCTGATCATTAGTTTTATTGGCTAATTTTTTAAAAGTTTTCCATAACTTTTTTTAAAGTTTTCCATAACTTTTCTCTCGTATCTGCAACTGAAAAACGGATAGTAACAAAATTACCGTTTGCAAATTAGATAAAAAAATAGAAGGAGTAACAAAAGCTACTTTTGATCAATTGATATGAACTGCAACTTACCCTTCAATTCCCTAATATCAAATTTTTGATGCTCCTTCACAAGAGAGTTATTTAAAGCTTGTTGATATTGAGCCTTCATGTTGTTTTCAATATTAGAAATTATATTTTGAATGTTGTCTCCAGTAGGGACAGATAAATCCGGCTCATATTCTTGCAGCTGATATTTAATTTCGGTAGTCTTCGCCATTACCAAATGCTAAAAAATCCATATGAATTTAATTGAGGAAAAGAGAGGAACATAAAGAGGATCTCTGGTGACATGCCTCTTATTTGGGGCCATTGTCGTTCATTATGAATAATTTACAATAAACAGTGTCATATCACAGCCGGAACGCCATTTGGCGTCTTCTCATCCAGCTCCATAACCAACAAAGTCTCGCCAATCGGAGCCTCGGCGTCCACCAAATGCTCAGCACTGAGCGACGCCAAAAATTGTTCAGCAGTACTCCTGGTAGGCGATCGAATTCGACTTCCTCTGAAGCTTTTTCTGTGTATCAAAGCCACTTCTGTAGCTGTTAAAGCGTTCGGTGACGTTTGCAGATTCATAAGACGTTCCAAAGTGGTGTCGTTGCCGCCAGTCATTTCCGCGAAAACAGCGTGGTAATCGGGCGGCGGATGTTGGACACTGAGCCTTGTTCTGAACGAACTTGGACCTTCTCCTAGAACGTTGGCGATTTTACGCATGCTGCGCCTGATGCTTTGCCTTAGAAATTTAGCTAGGCCAGCTCCAGTCGCTATAGTATAGCTTGGTAGAGGGGTGTATTTGGGAGAAGGATCTCCTGGAGGGATGTTTGTTGTAGGTAAATTGTTTTGAGGGTTAGGAGCCTTTTCTGCTAATAGGCTTATCCAATAAACCATTTTTATTGGATGCTTCTATAAAATTCCTTGCTATTAAATAAAGTATTCTACAGCACTTTCTGTGCATAGGGTATCATCAGAGTAGTCAAATTTTGTATCGGTTAGACCTAATAAAATATTTGTTGAGGATTTCTGCTTGGAAAATGATGAAAAATTATTTTACCAATGTGAAATATAAATAAATTCATCCATTCTTTGGTTCGGTACAAGTTTATTTACAGACACTTTATCTCGGTTGCTAATACTAAATACTGTGAATATGACAGCTAAATCACCATTATCATTAGTTTTATTGGCTAATTTTAGTGAAGTTTTCCATAACTTTGCTCTCGTACCTCCAACTAAAAAACAGAGAGAAACAAAATGAATGTTTGCAAATAGAATACAAAAATAAAAGGAGTAACATAACAAGAGCTCCTTTCGATCAATTGATATGAGCTCAAACTTAACCTTTAATTCCTTGATCAAATTTTTGATGCTCCTTCACAAGAAAATTAATTAAAGCTTGTTGATATTGAGCCTTCATGTTGTTTTCAACACCAGAAATTATTTTTTGAATGTGGTCTTCAGTAGGGACAGGTAAATCTGGCTCATATCCTTGCAGCTGATATTTAATTTCGGGAGTCTTCGCCCTTACCAGATGCATATGAATTTAATTGAGGAAAGGAGAGGAACATAAAGTGGAGCTGTGGTCACATGCCTCTAATTTGGGGCGATTGTCGTTCCAGCTGTGAATCAACAGTCGGTACGCATTTTTCGCTATCATTTTCCAATGACCTAAAGATGTACCTACTATACCATTGGAACATTTGAAGTTTGCTCAAATTGCGAAAACATAATAATAATAATGTTTATTTAATATACCATTATTGAAACAGAAAAATCAAATTGAGGAAAAAAGTTATATTTAATTTTCTGTGTTGCGAACATTTTGAAAGTTTTTGACAATGATGTTCATTGTACAATAATTTTAGTACTTTGTGGAATAAATAACTAGAAATCTTCTACTTTTTCAACTACCATCGGGTGCAATGGCGTCTTACATAAATTATTTACTACAGACCAGCTTGTATTAAGTTACTTTCCTATTTTTTGTGTCCAGTTGCCTCTCCCAACTTTTTATTTGTGATGAGGATTTCACTAGTGTTGGTAGCTTTTGGGTTGACATCTTGATTTATTATAATATTTCACCTTGTAAATTATTGAATAACAATTGAATAATAATAAATTGTTTATAAAAAATTATCTTTAAAACCTAAATGGTATATCTGGATATGGATAGTCGCAAAGGAGGGTGTTACCTCACTGACACTAGGCCTTGCCTTTGTGTCACCTCCATTTGTTAAGGCGCATTCTCCTCCCCGGGGGTCTCCCGCAGACATCGCACCCGTTGAATTAATTCAGGAGAGTTCCAGGTGAGGTGCGCCTCAACCTGGCCATATAAGGCCAGATGTCCTCCAGTATGGCTCACCGTTATTGGCAACAGGTTGGGCAGTGATAAAGCACATGCTCATCCGTTTCGTCTACAGCGTCGCACCATCTACAGATTGGGGTCTCAACAACACCCAAGGTGTAAATATGTTTATTTAGTCCACAGTGTCCTGAGTAAATTCCTTTCAATAGGCGGAGGTTTTTCCTGGACAACTGTACACTATACTCGGCTCTTTTCCAGTTAGGGAGGTCGATCATTGATCTGCCCTGCCTACAAGTGTCTAAACTGCGCCACATTTTGGCGTGCACTGAGTTATTCATTTAACTTCGGCAATGCCGGTGTTTGTTGACAAGGGATCATGGGTTGAGGTTCCATCGACCATCGGGGCCTTCCCTGAAGCAGCTCTGGCAAGACTGTCAGCTTCTAGAGCTTCTATACTTTGCATAATCAACTTTCAGTTTGTTCTAGCGCTGTCAAGGGCCGACAGCACGGATTTACTATCCGTTAGAAATCGCACTCGTTCGCCGTCGATTTCTTGATCGATGGCTATCTTGGCTCCCTGGATGACCGCCTTCAATTCCGCCTGAAAGGCGATGGGGTGGTTACCTAAATGGTATAATTTTTCTTTCTTTAACGAGAACTTGCAAGGGGTTTTCATGTTGTTCGCCATAACTATTGAAGATAGACATATAAGGTTGAATTCAGTTTGAAGGGGAATAACAAATAAGAGCACAATATACACGTGTTCTATTTAAAAGAATATAACTTCGAACTAATACACTTTTTTGACGCACCCTATATTATTTACTTAAAACTGAGTTAGTTGAAGGCTTTTGACAATTTCTTAAAACTTTTGAAATGAAAAAGTTAGGAGTGGGTGACATTTATACTAGATCACCCTGTACGGCGGCTCTAAAAGTGGACTTTTTTTAGGAAGACGATCACGGAGGAGAAAGTTTCAGATTCAATACCAGTGCTAGACGAGTACGAGATGGGGATGCGACATTTGCTACCGTCGGTAACCAGAAATTACGCACAATATCGATGAGTTTGCCTGCCGGGTCTCTTATGCATGTGCCTGAGCTCCAACAATGCTGGTGATGGAAAATTATATATTAACTCTTCTTCAGCAGCAGCCGCAACCCGGTAAGAATCATTAAAATACATTCATTTTATGTGAAACTTAAACCTTACTCATTGATGATTGCTGATTTGCAATAACTATAATGCATAAGTTTCGGAAAGATTTATTCAAACATTAAAGCGGAGTTTGAAACTGACACGATATCTATTGTTTTCCTATTTTTATAGTAAAATCGGAAGCATGTCATATCTTGGAAATTATATTATGAACACGACTAAAATACTTCCTACTGCTGTAATCAATTTCGGAAAGGTTACTAAAATGTACCTCAGCATAGATTTCCTGCTTTCAATCGCAATAAATATTACCTTTACTGCAAATGAAATTATTATTATTTTTGTTTTGTTTTATCAATCATTTTTTTTTTTTTCATATATTGTGGTTGCGTGAAAAAACTTATGACTAATTTTTCCTTCTCACAGTACACCGTTATTTTTGGTAATCCTCTGAATGTTCTAAGTTTGAAAGTTGTTCTAAGAGGGAAAGATACCGGGGAGCATCGAAATGGACATTTTTTTTTATCAAACCGGGCCATTACGAGGTCTTTCTTGTTGTTTCCTGAATTTGACACGATGTTTGTGCTGATACCTATTTTCTACAGCATTGTTACCAAGAATATGATGATGACGTGATTCCTTTTTTGGAATTATAATACAGCTGCCCTGTCGTTTTTTTCCTATCGATAAGATACATACAGCGGATAATGCGGATATACAAAATCGATGATATACCAAAACGATAATACCACGTCGTCAGGGCAACTAGTTTGACAATAAATCAAAATAGTTTATTATGCAATGATCATGTAATGATAGCCATTATTACACGAGCATGTTGTAGGATACGAAACGAGCCGCAGGCGAGTTTCGTATATAACATGCGAGTGTATTAATGGCCATTACATGAGAGTTGCATACACTATTTTTTCTACTGCCATTGATAAAATTTATGATATTTATATATGTCAACATTATGCTTAACTTTGAATAGAGATTTCATAATTGAGTAATCCATACAGTTGAAGGTTTAATTTTTTATTGTAATTCTTCAAAATATACTATCAAAACATTTTCTGAGAAGGACGATGTGTTTTTGGTGTTTCCAGTCCATAAATTGTCCATAAATTTTTCGTAAATTTTCTTGGACTTGTCCGGTAGTATATTATTACCTGCATTTGTCGCCCTTTCTGTAATTTCTGGAGGTGTTAGTGAAAATTCTTCGTTATCGCTCAATATTTCCATAATAATGCCTTCTCCCAAACTTAAGGTATTAATTTTTAATAACAATTTGAGGTATTTTTGTTTATAAAATTATTGTTTTTCGCTAAATTACCATAGAAAAGCTATAAACAGAGTGCTGTCATCATTCAAAAAAAAAAAAAAAACAAAATTTCTTAACTGGTGGCGCCATCTATTGACAATGTATAATAATGATAAAAGTAAAAATTCTTCCTTATCACTCATTGTTTCATAATTGTTTTACGCAAAATTACCGTTAAAAATGTTCAATATCTTAACTAGTGCTGCCATCTATCAACATTGTATAATATTAAAAATGAGTATTATAATGAAAATCTGTATCGTAATGAAGTTCATTATAATACAGATTTTAATCGTTTAATAGCGTTTTATGAAATGTCAGTAGAAAAATAATATTATTATTCAATAAAAATATATTGTTCGATGTTTTTGAATTTGTGTAATACTCCTCTGAATACCACTCGAGTTTTAAAATTATCGGTAATTTTTTAGCACTCGTGATATCACCCTCGATAAATCAGTTTATAAAAGCTACCAGTTGGTTTTGTCAAAATATCACAGATAGTGAAGGAGAGCTCAAACTTACCTAGGACAAAGCACTAAATTAAAGGTATAAGGTGTAACCGTAAATTACAGCAACCTTACCCCGATAATGTTTGCACACAATAGCAATCGAAACACACTGGCACATTACTTTGTAATTTCGAAATTTATCACAATATTTCATTATAGTACGGAATACGACGCCTATATCATCAAATCGCTTTACACCGTCTTGCATTGTTATCATCAGTCATAACATATTGCTGGAACGCACTTGCGTAGGGAAATAGAGGAGAGTGGGGGATTTCGCAGATAAAAATGTTTGAGAAATGTCGTCATAAATGAGGAAAATATACAGGGTGACTGTTAAGTAGACGTATTCCTCTGAGGGGGTAAAAGTAGAGCATATTTGCTACCGATTGAACATAATTTACCTCTATACCATTCTCAACAGTTTTTGAGATATTTATTCTTTTTCAATTTCCAAGAAATTCGCTTCTTTGCGCGGT